TTAGGACTGAAAAAAGGTGTTTTAAGCGTGTGCGTGCTCTGAGGGGAAAATGGTATTAACATTTTTCATAAGTAAAGAGTTTTAAATTTCTTTTCGGCATGAGGTGTTTCTGCTCAGGTTTTTTCGGCTTTGTTACCGCTTGGATATTATAAATTGAAATCCGATCACCCATCTGGCGTAGAGGTAAAACAACAGCTTGAAACGGCAAGGGCTTGAAGTTCAAATCCAGCCGGGCTCTTTTTTTGCAAACTAGAGTTGTGCTTTTTCGGAATATCGTCCGTGTGTTGGTTTTTGTCCCCTAGTTCCCTTAGCTCGATGTCTGTTTATTTTTGTTGGCTTGATTCCCGTAGCTCGATGGTTCAGCTTTATTCCCAGTTACTGTGCCGATAAAGCCCTGGAGTTCGATTTCAGTTGAGACCTGTTTTTCTTGCACATAGAAAATGTTGGCTAATTTAGATTGTCTTTGCTTATTTTTGTCTGCTTAGTTCCGCAGAAAGGATTTTGTTTGAAAACTTGGCTCTGTTTAGCATTCTCAAAGCTCTTTTTAGAGTTTCTAATGTTGCAGGCAGTTTTCGAATATTTTAGGCTTTTGTTGCTATTTGTATTAAAAAAAAAGATTTTTTCTTATTTTTTTTCCGTTTGATTTTAATCATAGCTCAGCCTCGCCTCTGTGTATAAAATTTGCAACCTCTATACCAATTCGAGAATCGGTAAATTTTTTAAAACTAAAGGCTTCGTTTCAACAAGACTTACAGTGCATTTGATTAGAGATTTAACGACGATTTTCAAAAGCTCGTCGATATGGTACTCATAAACGGTCAGCAAATTTTTATTTTTTACAAATATCTTCACGCTGGTCCTGTCAATTTCAAAAAATTCAATGGTAATCTATTATATATTTAAATGCGGGCTTCACTATCTTGCCATGTTTAAGCTCACTCCACGTATTTTTTTTGCATGTTTAACCAAAGAATTTTTTCAAGTTTAAGCTATATCGTATATTGCAAGTGTTAAGATTTTTCCGATTTTCCTGTTTGCATTCAACTTTTATTTCACCAAGTTTGAAATTAGCTACCCACTAGTGGGATTTTGTGAAATTTTACCCGGGTGTTGCGATTTTGGCCTCCATATATGAGTAACTATATACATTTAGGCTACGAAATACAGCAATTTTTGAGATTTATCAAAAATTTCTAGAAAATTTTAAAAAAATTTCTGCAAATTTGAAATTCTCAACTCTGTAGTTGGGGGCTGTCAGGGTACTCTCTGGGGTTGCTAATCTTGCCTTCAAATCTCATTTCTCAAATCCTTTACTTTTCGAGATATGACGTTTTTTTAATGGTTTTGTCAAAATTTTTCAAACTTCGAAAATCTAATTCCTGTAATTGGAAACTGTGAGGGTACTCTCAGGAGTTGCGAATCTTGCCTCTGAATATGACTGCTCAAATCCTTGTATTTTTCGAGATTTGGCGTTTTTTAGATTTGACGTTTTTTTGACGTTTCTCATCTCTATAGCGAATCGTGCCTTCAAGTATTACTGCTCAAATCTTGTTCGTTTTCCAGGTATGACGTTTTATGTGATTTTCTTTCAAAAACTTTTCAGAAAACTCGAACTCTTTTTTCAAAAATTGAACCTAATTTTTTTACTTGGGGCTGTCAAAGTACTGTCAGGGGTTGTGAATCTTGCCTCCAAATATGACTGCTCAAGTCTTTAAAATTTTGAGAAATGAAGTTTTTTATGGTTTTTGAAGTTACGTTCTCAGAGAATTTAAATTTGAAAAGTTTCTCAATTTCAAATTCCTAACCCTTTGGTTGGGTTTTGTGACAATTGCAAATCTTGCGTTCAGGTGCGACTGCTCTCTGTTTTAAGTTTGCGAAATGTTACGTTTCTTTGTTCATTTTAAATGTTTTCAAATAACTTCTTGTTTTCAAATTTGTTTATGGATCCAGTTTTTTCAAGTTGGATTAATTTTATCAAAATAGTTTCGATCATAATTTTATGGTTTTTCAAAGTTTGAATTGAAAAACGAATAAAAAAACTTTGCGAAATATGAAAATGCCAACCCTGTGATTGGGTGCTGTCAAGGTACACTCAAAGGATGCAGATCTTATTTCCAATATATGCGATTTTTTATGAGTTGTTAAAGATTCAAAGCACCGGAAGGGGCGTTTCAAGGTAGTTTGTTCTAAAACATCTGGCGAGGTCTCAAATGTTGTTTCAAAGTATAATCTTATTATTGGCGTATCGTTTTATTCTTATCTAATAATTTCTTATACATATTTTAATCAGAGTAATAAACCTAGCGAGTACTCTTATATAGGTCTAAATATTTTTTTTTTCAGGAAAAAGTATTTAAATTTGTTCAAGCTCAATTTTGATTTTTCGCGGTTTGAATTTTAGTTTCTGTTTCAGTTCACTTCTTTTCTTTTGTTAAAATGAAGGCAACCTGCTTTATAAAATAACATGATTGAATTCTAGTTTCGAAAATGGAATTTACTAATTATTGTATTTTCCAGCTTTTCTCAAATGGGGTTCATTTTATCAAGAAAGTGCCGATCATAAATTGTTCTACAAATTCAAAAGTCGAAGGTTTTTCAAAAAGATTTTTTTTTGTTTCCATGCGTTCATTACTCACTTACATCTGTCAGTTGTCTATGTTAATTTTTTGAATTTTATTCTTTAATTGTCATCACCCTTGTCATTAAACGCGGGTATTGCAACAGGTTGCTAGTGTTTTTCCCAGTTAAGTTTCTGAGTTGGAATCTGACTAGGAGCTGATTGTTTTTAACCGTTAAGTATTCAGTTTCAAATAAAATTTAGGCGTAATTTAGGGAACATCATTCCAGACAACATTGCGAGTAGGAAGCGTTATCAAATCGGAACACTTTTGTTTTATTGATATGGAAAGCTTTGGGCATTTAATTGAGCCGTCGTCTTTATTTTTTTTTTCAAATTTCCTTAGAAAAAAAATCATTTTCAATTTCATCTATTTTTCAAAAAATTATTATCATCTGTTTAGGTTATCGATTTTTTCTGTTGAAAAAAAAATAAAACTGTTTTTGGGCCTGTTTTTTCACTGCTTGATTAATACGAACATCAAAAATTTTTTAAACCTCGGTTTTCAAAGCTGGATTTAAATTTTTAAAATGAAAAATAACATCAGCAATTGGTCTGATTTTTTTTACACCTGTGAGAGCAATTGTATTGCGATCGGGTTCTGGACTTTCCCCATGAATAACTTTGCTCAGATGATTTATCTCACAGCTGAACCCATTAACTCATTACCAGATCAATATACCTGTTCAGCAACACAGTTCTGCATAAAAGGGGGGTGACGGTACTTCGTAATATGATGAATAGCTAATAGTTTCATAAGCTTTTATTTAGGTTCAAATGCTAAATGCTCCGTTGAAGGCTCGCATTGGTCCCAAGTGGGCTTCCAGGGCAATGACCCAAGTACGGATTTCAGGGCCTGTGGAATGCTCGGTTTGCTCCATCTGACATACTTGGGAGTTGAGCACAGTTCACTGGCGCAAAAAATCTACGAGATGTCTCTTCATTCTACTGCAAATTTTCCTCTTGCAGTTCTTTCTATTAATTTAACAAAAATTTCAACTAATTGAATTGAAAAACGAAAAAAAAACTTTGCGAAATATGAAAATGCCAACCCTGTGATTGGGTGCTGTCAAGGTACACTCAAAGGATGCAGATCTTATTTTCAATATATGCGGTTTTATATGAGTTGTTAAAGATTCAAAGCACCGGAAGGGGCGTTTCAAGGTAGTTTGTTCTAAAACATCTGGCGATGTCTCAAATGTTGTTTCAAAGTATAATCTTATTATTGGCGTATCTTTTTATTCTTATCTAATAATTTCTTATACATATTTTAACAAGAGTAATAAACCTAGCGAGTACTCTTATATAGGTCTAAATATTTTTTTTTTCAGGAAAAAGTATTTAAATTTGTTCAAGCTCAATTTTGATTTTTCGCGGTTTGAATTTTAGTTTCTGTTTCAGTTCACTTCTTTTCTTTTGTTAAAATGAAGGCAACCTGCTTTATAAAATAACATGATTGAATTCTAGTTTCGAAAATGGAATTTACTAATTATTGTATTTTCCAGCTTTTCTCAAATGGGGTTCATTTTATCAAGAAAGTGCCGATCATAAATTGTTCTTCAAATTCAAAAGTCGAAGGTTTTTCAAAAAGATTTTTTTTTGTTTCCATGCGTTCATTACTCACTTACATCTGTCAGTTGTCTATGTTAATTTTTTGAAGTTTGTTCTTCAATTGTCATCACCCTTGTCATTAAACACGGGTATTGCAACAGGTTGCTAGTGTTTTTCCCAGTTAAGTTTCTGAATTGGAATCTGACTAGGAGCTGATTGTTTTTAACCGTTAAGTATTCAGTTTCAAATAAAATTTAGGCGTATTAGGGAACATCATTCCAGACAACATTGCGAGTAGGAAGCGTTATCAAATCGGAACACTTTGGTTTTATTGATATGGAAAGCTTTGGGCATTTAATTGAGCCTTCGTCTTTATTTTTTTTTTCAAATTTCGTTAGAAAAAAAATCATTTTCAATTTCATCTATTTTTCTTCAAAAAATTATTATCATCTGTTTAGGTTATCGATTTTTTCTGTTGAAAAAAAAATAAAATTGTTTTTGGGCCTGTTTTTTCACTGCTTGATTAATACGAACATCAAATTTTTTTTTTAAACATATCGGTTTTCAAAGCTGGATTTAAATTTTTAAAATGAAAAATAACATCAGCAATAGGTCTGATATTTTTTACACCTGTGAGAGCAATTGTATTGCGATCGTGTTCTGGACTTTCCCCTTGAATAACTTTGCTCAGATGATTTATCTCACAGCTGAACCCATTAACTCATTACCAGATCAATATACCTGTTCAGCAACACATAGTTCTGCATAAAATGGGGGTGACGGTACTTCGTAATATGATGAATAGCTAATAGTTTCATAAGCTTTTATTTAGGTTCAAATGCTAAATGCTCCGTTCAAGGCTCGCATTGGTCCCAAGTGGGCTTCCAGGGCAATGACCCAAGTACGGATTTCAGGGCCTGTGGAATGCTCGGTTTGCTCCATCTGACATACTTGGGAGTTGAGCACAGTTCACTGGCGCAAAAAATCTACGAGATGTCTCTTCATTCTACTGCAAATTTTCCTCTTGCAGTTCTTTCTATTAATTTAACAAAAATATCGTTGCAAGTTTTACGCGAGGAAAAGTTAAATAAAATGTGCAATGCTAGAAAAGATGTTATTGCACCCTTCAATGAGTTATTCGTTGCGTTGTGGTCTAATTTTTTCTGTATATGGAGTAAATTGGACAAAACTATTGGGGATTTTGCTTTTGTGCTAAAAGACATTGAAGCATCCGCTGGAAGAGACGTGAAAAGTTTCATAGAAAAACACTCGAGCGTGAAGATACACGAATTGGGCGAAAATGGTGAAAAACGGACTGAAGACAAAGTGTCGGTAGATAAATCGGCGACAGCTTCTAAAAACAAATACGCAATTACGGGAACGGCTGATGCAATAGATTCCAAAGAGGTTTCAAAGAAAGACGATAACGGCGAGCTTAATTTTATAGGAGTTGATGAGCTGACTCCAATCTAAACTCTTTTAAATCTGAACTATTTATCTCTGCTAGCGCGTGCCTTTTGAAAGTAATTTCAATGTACAAATTTAGACTGTAAAATTTCTGTAAACTATGTGTATATGTATTTTGTAAATTTGAAAATTTTTCATATCAAGTCTCCAATAAATCTTAGCTAGAAAAAATTCTGGTCTTCTAGAAGCCGCATCGGACTTAGAAAGCCAGTTGAACAGATTGCGGGTAAAAGAACAGTGAACTCGGCTGTTTTGGTGGGTTTTTCTTTCCTCCTTAAGAAATCGTTAGGGGCTGAGTTATTGCATACTTGTGTCGTTATTGTGGCCAGGGTAATTTCTTCGTAGTTTAATTGTACTTGTTTGTTTTCTGTTCTTGTGCATTAAAAGGCTGATATAAGTCAGCTCAAATTTTTTCTTCTAAAGGAAACGTTATCAGGCGCCTAAAGGAAACGTTATCTTCCACCTCAAAATGGTATATATTGGCGCCCTTTTTTGAATGTCACCAAAAACAGATTTCTCAAAGTGGAGACCCTTTGGGTCGGCAGGGGGTCGAAAATCTGAGAGGAGGGGGGGGGGGCTTCCGCACCCGCTAACTCTGCCCCTGGTTGAAACTATATTTTAATATCGCACTCTTTCACAACACGTTTTTCAAAGACGAATTTTATCTGAAAATTGATTTCTTGTTGTCTCGGGTTCTTCCCTATCTCTTGACCAAGACGTTTGCAGGTTTTGTGATGCAATAAGAATGCGATAATGGGCGTATTTGAGCAGAAGAGCATTTTTCAACTTAATTGTTTTCTCTTTTTAACTCAACCGGAACATAGTGCAATATTCCTAGGCATTGAGTCGCAAATAAAAGTAGTGCTCTTTTGGTGGAACTTTGTTAAAAGGAAGGCAAAATCGAACAGCGAAAGTGTAAAGGTCACGAAAAACGTGATCGACTTATCACGCTGACGATTAGCTAGCGTTATTAAATCGGTATTAGACTTTTTTCTGGTTAACAACTAGTTTAACAAACTCAGTTGGCATGTCTGCTGTGATGGAATGCCCGGAAAATAATGTTTTGAGCATCCATGTGTTTAAATACCTGTTTCATTCGCATTTTTGTTATCGCTTTCAAAAGAAATATTTTTTTTTCGCTGATTGTTTTCGTTTTTTTCCACATTTGTTTTCTTAGGCTTTAATGGTTTCGGCTGATATTGTATTTTTTTGTCTCAAAAATCGTCATATGAAGGGTCTAAGTATTATTACTCTGGCAACTGTTTTTTTCGGCTTCTTTCTTTTAATATCAACCATTTCGAGACAAATGAAATAAACAATGTTTTTTTTCGTTGTTTTGAAATTTAAATTCGAATTAGTGGCTTTTGTCTCATTTTTTCGGCTTGCTTCCGTTCTCTTCTTTGATGTATTGCAAGTGATGCCAACTGTTTCGAAAGTAGAATTTATTCTTCAGATTTTGAGCCAAATGAAAAAATTATTTATGGATCCAGTTTTCTCAAGTTTGGTTAATTTTATCAAAATAGGTTCGATCATAAGTTGTCCTTGAAATTCAAAGAGCTTGAAGGCCATTTTTTTGAAATTTAAAAGGTTAGATTTTTTCAAATCAATTTGTGCGTTTTTTCTCTGTCTTTTTTGGGTTAATTGACTCTTTTCCAACTGTCTGTTAGCTATGTTTTTTAAAACTATTTCTTTGAGATACTTCGGAAACTTTTTGCAGAAAGTTTTTCTCATAAGCTAATTAACCGGTGTTCAAAAAACAGTGCCGGTGGACAGACAGGCGTGTAACTCCTCTACGTGCCTGCATATTCCGCCAGCCTCTTTTGACTTTGCCGCTTGTTACACTGTCGTCGAAAATTTCAGCGGTGAGAATTGTTGACCGATTTTTACACTTGCCCGATTAAGTATCTTGTAATCGGGAACTAGGCTTTTTTTAACCGTAAATAATGTTTCTTACAAATCTTACTTGCTTCATTGTTGAACCTTAATAACTTCCAGGTTTGTTCCCACCTGCCCTAGTGGTAACGTGGTCGACTCTAAGTTCTGGGGGTCGAGTCCCGGCTGGATCTTGTTTTTTTTTCAGCATGTATGAAATTGAATTTTTTTCGGTAAAAATTGAATTGTCGGACTTTCGTTTGTCTGCTCAATTTTCGGCTAAGGTGCCACATACCGTTTTTTTTCTGTGCTAAAAGCAAGTATCATGGCACTAACTACAGTTGATCATTGTAGTTTCAGGGTTGATTTAGTGAAGTAATACAACATCAATTTTTTTCGGTTCAACTGGTGTCTGCTCAAAGATTATCGGCTTTGTTTCAGGAAATTTCTTTGAAAAGGCTTTGTTTTCCCTATATCGGGAAACTGCCCTATGATCCACTTGGTTTCCTTGCGTTTTTGTCAAGGGAATTGAAACGCAACTAGGTACTAGAGTTTTACCCGTTACAAACTAACGATGGCGGTAAGTGCATAGAATAACGAAACTTATAAATATTAATTGATTGTTCGATGTGGGCTTTCTTTTTGCCGGCTTGTTAAAGTGATATGATATGGTTCATGAAGCTTCCATCATATAATGAAGATATTTATATAGGTCGTGATGAACATTTTTCGTTTTAATTAAGAAAGTCTTATAGTTTGTCTCAAATTTGATTTTTCGTGGTTTGATTTTCGGGTTTTTCTGTTCAAGTTCTTATATAGGCAAACTCTTATATAGGTCGTGATGATTTTCTTTTGTTATTTTTGTCTAAAGTCTGGGGTTCAAAACCCGGCCGGATCTTGTTTTTTTTCTACGTCTCAAATTGAATTTTTTTCAATCTATCTATCTATTATTTAATTGGCGTTTCACGTGACACATGTTTAAGAAGTCCCTATGTTGACGTGTTTAAGAAGTCCCTATTTTTGCATGTTTAAGTTTTTTCAACGTATTATTTTTTTGCATATTTAACGAAATTGTTTTTGCACGTTTAAGCTATACCGTAGGTTAAAATGCTTAAGAAATTTCATTTGGCTCATGTTTAAGTCTGTTGGTCTGTTTAAGGCCAAAAAATTGCAAGATTTGAAAATTTTATATATACATACGTTGTATGCGTTCCTATATATTGGGGTGCTGTTAAGTACATTTAGGGGTTGCAAATCTGGCGTTCAAGTATGACTGCTCAAATCCTTATATTGTTCGAGAATGGCGCTTTTATGATTTTCTATTTTTTTTTGTCAAAAAACCTGGAAAGAAAAACCCAACCGAACTGGAATTTCTCAACCCTATAGTGGGGGTGCTATCAGGGTATATTCCGGGGTTGCAAATTTGGCGTCCAAGTGTGACTGCTCAAATCCTTTAATTTTTCGAGATATGGCGTTTTTATGTAGTTTTTTTTTCAAAAAACATAGATATTAAAAAACTAACCGAACTTCAATTTCTCAACCCTATAGTGGGGTGCTGTTAGGTTACATTCAAAAGTTGCAAATCTGGAGTCTAACTATGACTGCTCAAATCCTTTTGGTTTTCGAGATACGGCGTTTTTTATGATTTTTTCATGTTTTTTTTTTCAAAAAAATTTAGATACAAAAAACTAACCGAACTTGAATTTCTGAACCCTATAGTGGGGTGCTGTCAGGGTATATTCAGGAGTTGCAAATCTGGCGTCCAAAAGTTGAATTGTCAGACTTTCGTTTGTCTGCTCATATACCTTTTTTTCTGCGCTGAAAGCAAGTTTTATGGTACTTACAAGTGTTGATCATTGCAGTTTCAGGGGTCATCTAAAACTTTTTGAGTTTTTAGAAAATCATTGTTTTTCGACTAAACGGGTGTCTGCTCAAAGATTATCGGCTTTTTTCCGCTTTTTAAGTTTTTTCCGTTGCACATTTAATAATCAAATATTTGCTTGGCGTGTATGCTTAGAACAAACTTTTATCGAGACATATGAAAATTTTGGTAGACCTAGTTTTTTCAACAGTTCTTATTTTTTCGACTTCACGTTTTTTTATATTTGTTTTGTATACTGGTTTTGTATATTTCGTTTCTTTTTCTCAAAATTATTCCTTCTAAATCTGAAATTTTTTTTTTGCGAAGTGTTATTGGAATTTCCTCCGCGCAAGCGGCTACGCCATAATTGTCATAGGGAATAATTATAGCCTCAAAAAGGCTTTTAAAAACAACCGTGTCAATTTTTTTAAATCAAAATTTATGACCTAGCCGCTTGCGCGGGGGCTATTCCAATAATACGTTGTTTTGATAAAAAATTTAATTTCAGGTGGAGGAATTTAGAAGGAATTTTTTTGAGACAAAGAAAAGAAATATACAAATTTTGAGATAGAGCACACTTGCGAAACAGCGCGAACATAAAAAAAATTAAAGTCGAAAAAAGTGAAAAATGTGGTTAATTTTTCATTCGAAAGTACAGTTTTTGTAAATCTTATCTGCATAACAGTCTGTTTTACAAATCGAAAATGGCCCTGAAAACATAAATGACTCTTTGTTTCTGAATTATACTGTAATTTGAAGAAAATGGCCCTAAAAACTTTTTTGCGAAGGAAGTGTTATTGGAATCTCCTCTGCGCAAGCGTCTACGCCATAATTTTCATAGGGAATAATTATAGCCTCAAAAAGGCTTTTATACCGTGCCAATTTTTTTAAAACAAAATTTATGGCCTAGCCGCTTGCGCGGGGGATATTCCAATAATACGTTCATTTGATAAAAAAATTTAATTTCAGGTTTAGAAAGAATATTTTCGAGACAAAGAAAAGAATATACAAAATTTGAGATAGAGCACACTTGCGAAACAGCGCGAACATAAAAAAAATTATAAAGTCGAAAAAAGTGAAAAATGTGGTTAATTTTTCATTCGAAAGTACAGTTTTTGTAAATCTTATCTGCATCACAGGCTATGTTTTACAAATCGAAAATGGCCCCGAAAACATGAATGACTCTTTGTTTCTGAATTGTACTGTAATTTGAAGAAATTGGCCCTGAAAACATTTTTGCGAAGGAAGTGTTATTGGAATCTCCTCTGCGCAAGCGTCTACGCCATAATTTTCATAGGGAATAATTATAGCCTCAAAAAGGCTTTTAAAAACAACCGTGTCAATTTTTTTAAAACAAAATTTATGGCCTAGCCGCTTGCGCGGGGGCTATTCCAATAATACGTTGTTTTG